AGAGGGCAAAAGAAGAAGCCGACGCCATTAAATGGGATAGTTGTTTTCAGAGGGCAAAAGAAGAAGCCGACACAGACGGAACGACGATACAAGTACCCGTTTTGTTATTTTTCCGAGTTGCGGACATAAATTGTGAAGATTTTCTTAGGTTGGGGAAATTATAAGCACATCAAGAAGATTAGTTCGAACGATAACGCCGCTTGATTGTTTTGATTTTTGTGCTGTTAAAAAATTGCTTAGCATTTGTTTTGTTTTCATGTTTCTATGTTGACATATAAAGTAGTTTTTGATTGAGTTGTTTTTCATGAAGATGATTTTGGAATTAGACCTTTTGCACAACGATACATTCTTTTTTCGTAACAACTTTTTTTGTTCGACAATATGAATATCTGTTTTGATGTTATCAGGTTTGGGTAATAGCTGTTTTCGGATAATAGCTGTTGTTTAGAAATAGTTGTTTTTATGATAATAGCTGGTTTGCAAGAAGCTGCATTTGGATAAAATTTGTTTGTCGATATTATCAAAAATATTATTTCCACAATTTTAGCAAAACGAATATGAATCCAACTATATCCAAATTAATTGTTATCAAAAGACTATTCTGGAAAAATAACTATGTTGTAGACGATTATGTTTCAAAACATCCGCACCTCTAAAAATCAAATCAACATAAACTATATATGTATACTAACAAAATTATAATGACATGATTGCATAACAACTTTTCAATATATATTACAAGAACAATGTTAAGAAAAAACATTTGTATACAAAATATTATTCATATAATATTCTACATTAACACCCTAAATTTCAAGGTCGGCTAGCATATATGTCATAGTTGTGTTGATGCATTCAGACATGGCCATTTCAAACAAGCAAACTCAGCTATTGCTTGAAAACTTATGCCAGCAGATCACTTTAAAGCAGCTAACCCTCTGTACTTCAAGAACATGTTCAAACTGCTATCCATCTACAACTAAAAAAAGGAGTCAAAAGATGAATAATTCATAAAAAAACAACTACGAACAGAAGATTAGTTAGTTTGCGTAAACTATTAAATATCGCCAAATCGACTATAAATGTATGACAAATCGACTATCACTGTTTATTACATTGCTATCTCATTGTTTATTACAACTTATTGGTTACTGGTAAATGCAAAGAATTAATTAACAACAATTCCTCTATGTAATATCATAACTATCACTTTATAAAAATAAAACATCGCCATAGCTAAGCAATTAGAAGTAGATACCACCATACCTGATCACGATCAGCAGGGTAAGTACAGAGAATATACTTCTCACTATTCACATTTGCAATCTTAAGTACTTTCTCCCCTTCGATTTTTCGTATTGCCACTATTGTATCTTGCCTGATTGCCATAGGCAACACTGAGTAACCCTCATAATTTATGTGTTCTCCAATCAAATTCATCACCCTCTCTACAGAAAATTAAAAAGTAATTAATTAATTAATTAAAATAAGTAAAAAATAAAAAGCTTCGGTTCACTAGCATTCAGTAGGATCATGATTCCCAAATCAATACATTAATTCTCTACACATAGTAAGCAATAAAAAGTCACCAGAAAAAATATATATGAACGCATAAAAGACAATTTAAAAACACAATATGAACGTAGCTACAATGAAAATCGACTATAATGACTCTGCAATAAAAATTGGCTATAACGACTCTGCAAAATCAACACAAAATGACTCCCAACTTAAAAAATCGAATTTAATACAAGGCGGGGTTCTCACTAATTATTTTAAATACTGAGTAACCTTCATAATTTCTGTAAATTACGAACATGTTACTGCAAAAACAATAGTCGTGTTACCTGCATAACACGACTATAAAATCTCAACATAATCAGCACAAAAAAAAAAGTCCTCCATTCATACATAACAACATAAATAGTCCGTATGCTATCTTTCGCACAAACAACGAAACAACAGTTCGCATATATGAAATCAATTACAAACAACTTTCTGCAATTAGATTAGAATCACCATATGAATCCAAATTTGATGCATCGAATCAACACTCAAAACAACTGCGTTGCAAACAAAATAAAAATAAAAAAACTTGCCTTCTTCAATTACAGTCGCCAACTCTCTGAACGGAACGAGATATGAATCTCAACGCGCGCCTTTGGAACGGTTCAAAAATTAACACGATGTTTGAGAGATGAGACGGTTATGGAATATGCCGATCTATCGTGATCTCAAAGATTTTCTTCAAATCACGTGTTTAAAATAAATTAATTACACAAGGGTGAAAATGTAAATGTCAATTATATAATTAATCATAAAAAATTGAATTTAATATAAGGGGGGGTTTTCACTAATTATGAAAGGGGGTTATATCCACCCTAATTTATGTAAATGATGTGGGGGGTTCTCACTAATTATCCCTAATTTGATAGAGTGAGATTACATTTTATACTTAAAAAAAAAACAAAAAAAAAAAAAAAAAAATTACAGCCGTGATTCACTGTGATTCTATATAGCACGGAAACTTCAACGCGTGTCGGAAACTCGAAGACACCTGCCGGCTATGAATGCACAAAAACTTCAACCCACATGCGTTTCCACGTTTCAGAAACGTTTCGAAAATTGAAACTCAATGACACCCAATGGGTTTCGGGGCCGTTTCCATAAATATTTAAAGTTTCAGGGACGTTTCTGATAATAATGAAAAATTGGAAACCCGTTTCCACACTAAATATATCTAAATTTCATTTTAAATAAAAACTCCGAATTGCAAACACTAAAAAAATCTTAACTGTTATGTCTCTTTTTCACTTCTAGTGGTGTTTTAATATTTTGTAGATGTTAATTCCATACTAAAATAAATTTATATGCCCCGAATGGAATTTGTGGAATGAAATTAACATTATAATATTTTTTAGAAATTATGAATGCACCCCTTAATTTTTATTAATTACACATTTCTCCACGTTCCCGTATCCAACTTTTATAAAACCGGAGTTTCCCCGTGCCCGTTTCCCTGTTTCTTCGTATCCGCGTTCCTGTGTCCGTGCTACATAATATGCCTGACACTTATGGGCCATTTTGCAATTTCTAAAAAGTTTGAAACATGTTTGAATAGCAAATTTGTAAATATTTTTATTATTTCACAAATTATTTCCAGATTACCCTCGGCCCACAGCCGAAGAATGTCTCTCCGTACGAGACGATCTATTGTCCCTCAACCAAAGATCGAAAATGAAATCAAAATCTGCCGATTTCGGAGAAGAAGATGATGAGAGAGAGAGTGTTTTGGACGGACTGGTGAAAACCATACTTTCACAGAATACTATAGAGCTTAATTCTGAAAGAGCTTTTGCTTCTCTCAAAAGTGCTTTTCCTATTTGGGATAATGTATGTAACCCTTCTTCTTCTGCTACTTTCTTTTAGTTGATTTTTGATATTTTCTTGAAAAAGTTGAATTTTTTGGGTTTTGTGCATGTGAAGTTGGATTGTATTCTTGAAGTTGCATTTATCTCGAAAGGGTACCCTAAAATCGTCCTCTTCCTTATTCTTCTATATCTCTCCTTTCTTCCATCTCCTCTCTTCTTTCTCTTCTTCATGCTCGTCCTCTTCTTTCTCTCCTTTACTCCCGTTCATCTTCTTTATTCTCCCCTTCTTTATTCTTCTAAATAGTACCAAATTCGGGGATTGGATTCACAAACTCCTTTAAATAAAATAAAACATGCAATTAATATGCATTTAGTACAAATAAAGTCAGAAAATATCACATTGCAGCTCCTATTTTGTATAGATAAAGTCATAAAACTGAAGGAGTGAAAGTTTTGAAATTTTACAGATGTGCTTGTCAAAAAGTTAACATCCCTCATATTCGTACCATCGCACTCTCCTTCCTTGACAAAATGGTCATTTTGCGTTTCAAAATCCACAGATTTATTCTTAAAAGCTACAAGTTCGTGATCTCTAGTTTTAAGAATAGCTTCTAGCTCCTCAATTTTCTTCCTCAAAATTATAATTTCATCATCTCTAGCTTCGAGAAGAACTTCTGCTCCCATATTAGATGATGGAAATTCACTATCATACAATCATCTAAACAAGTGGGTGGAAGATTAATCAACTTGTTCTCTTGGGATTTTAGAACAACCTAAGTAAACAAATAATTCTCACAAAAAGTTATCAATATACTTCATAATTTTGCATTAAATAGAGGAAATAAACAAGTGGTACTAACAAGTTAGTACCTTTTCAGTTGTAAGTTCATCTAGTGCTTTTTGAAATTTAGATTCTTCTCGACCCGTCTTGCTATTGTCTCACCGAAAAAATCGAGGAAATCGACTCAAGCTTGTCGGTGACCCGATAGAGGGGACCCTTTCATAAAACCAAGCCCACCAATTTTAAAAAAATGCATATGTTATGGAAATTAAGAATCAAAATACAAATAAAAATTAATATTAAAACATATATTACTTACTAATAACCCGATGGTGCAACCATTGATGTACGTCTTCGGTTTACATGTGCCCTCATTTCGCCGATCAAGTAATCAGAAACAGCTTTTCCCCATAAATAAGAACCTAATTCAGACAAATCCTCTAAATACGAAAAAATAAACGTCGGGATCGAATAATTGCCTTGAGGAAATAATACACAATTACAAACATAAAGAATGTATATTTTACAAAAGTCATCTACACAATCATCCCTAGAAGCTAATTCTAATAATCGGTCAGTCAATTTAAGGTTCTTGCAGCTGAGTCCAAGTGCATTGAGGATGCAATAAGATGCGGCGGCCTAGCACCGACAAAGTCGTCTTGTATAAAGAATTTGTTGAGTAGCTTGCTCGAGAGAAAAGGGAAGTTGTGCATGGAGTATTTGAGAGAATCTTCTATCGATGAGGTCAAAGCGGAGCTCTCTCTTTTCAAAGGAATTGAATCCATGTTGTTGAATCCAAACTTATCGTTGAAAACAAGATTCCAAACTGATTAAAGGTAATTGAATCCATGTTGTTGTTGTTAATCCGGTGATAGTTTCCAAATTGATATCATTAAATGCAGACACAAATAAAAAATCAAATGTCGAAAGTTGGGACTTGAGAATCGAAGCCGTTGAAACACTGATAAGATAATCGAGCCAAATCCACCGTGAATAGCGGCTGCGCCGCCGCCGCCGCCGTTGAAAGCCCATTTCCAGATTACCCTCGGCCCACCCCTGAAGAGTGTTGCTCCGTACGAGACGATCTATTGTCACTCCATGGTTTCCCAAAAGAGTTCGTCAAATAACGAAACCAAAGATTGAAAACAAAATCAAAATCCGCCGATTTCGGAGAAGATGATGATGAGAGAGAAAGTGTTCTGGACGGACTGGTGAAAACCATACTTTCACAGAACACTACTGAGCTTAATTCTGAAAGAGCTTTTGCTTCTCTCAAAAGTGCTTTTCCTATTTGGAATAATGTATGTAACCTTCTTCTTCTTCTACTTTTCTTTTAGTTCATTTTGATAATTCTTGAAAAAGTTGCATTTTTTGGGTTTTGTGCATGTGAAGTTGGATTGTGTTCTTGAAGTTGCATTTATCTCGAAAGGGTACCCTAAAATCGTAATCGTAAAATCGTAGTTGTAAACTCGTAGTCGTAAAATCGAAGAATGCACTCGATGGAGTGCTGAAAGTGATTGAGCTTCACTTATTTTGATGCGTAAAAAAACTATTGTGTTTGGCCCAATCATGATCCCAAAGTAAACTCCTTAAAATCGCAATAGAATCGAAGATTTTAAAGATTGTAATTATTATACTCCCAAACTTGAACGACTTTGCTTGCAGTATAAATTTCTTCTAGGATATAACACCGTAAAGGGTAGTAAAATCCAAGTATTTTATGATTTTAATTGGAATAAGATTCTTGCATATGTTTAAGGTTCTTGCAGCCGATCCCAAGTGCGTTGAGGATGCAATAAGATGCGGGGGCCTAGCACCGACAAAGTCGTCTTGTATAAAGAATCTTTTGAGTAGATTGCTCGAGAGAAAAGGGAAGTTGTGCATGGAGTACTTGAGGGAATCTTCTATCGATGAGGTCAAAGCGGCGCTCTCTCTTTTCAAAGGAATTGGTCCTAAAACAGTAATTTTCCGCCAATATAAATATTACCTTTTTCGAAAACGATATTAATTGAGTTCTAATTGATTTGATTGGTTAATTTTTTAGATTAACACGTTGTTTGATTGGATTTTTTTTCTCATAGGTGTCATGTGTATTGATGTTTCATTTGCAGCACGACGATTTTCCCGTGGACACACATGTGAGTACATTGTGTATTTTATCGTCGATTTTTCTTTCTACTTAAGTAAATTGATAAGCATCGTCCAACAGGTTTTTCAGATAGCTAAAACTATGGGTTGGATTCCATCGTCAGCTAATATAAAAAATACGTATCTCCACCTCAATAAGCAAATTCCAGACGAACTCAAGTTTGACCTCAATTGTCTTCTATACATGACTCACGGCAAGATTTGTAAACAATGCTCGAATAAGAAATTAGGCAAGAAAAATAAGGAAACCGAAGATTTAGGCTGTCCTTTGTTAGCTTATTCTAAACAAATTATCATCGAAAACAAGATTCCAAAAGAATATCAAATGTCGAAAGTTGGGACTTGATAATCGAAGCCGTTGAAGCACTGATAAGATAATCGAGCTAAAAGATTCCTATACGGATCTTTTTCTCTATTCTCCTTCAAATAATCGATGAATTTGTGTACCTCGTTTTGTATCTCTAAATACATTTCATCAGCTTTCTCTTTGTCTGTCAAAATATCCTCCCTTCCTGCAGAAATAACACAGACCAAAATTATCAGTCTCGAAAAAAATTAAGTAAAATACTTGTTTCCGTATTTACGAAACGTTTTTTCGTTTTCGTATTGAAGCCGATATAAATACCTTCCATTGAGATTGGCTTTCCGAATCGGAAATATAAGCGGCCGGGTATTTTCGGTAGGACTACCGGGTAGTATAAAAGTTGCTCCCGTATTTCTCCTTCAGCATCACTCCTGTATATATATGTATTATGTTTATATATATATATGAAAATAGAGTATTATACTTACCTTAACCTAACAGCCTCGCCGGTTAGTTCTTCGATGAAGGCCTTGAGGGGTGGAAACTTCATTTGATCGTTGCGATCTAATAACAACTGGTTCGAGAAAGAAATTCCCATCGTACGTTAGATAAACCACTAGTCACTAAAGTTCGACATTCGTAAAAATTATTTTTTTACATTTTAATGTCATAAAAAGATTGACATAATTAAGCAAAAATCAACTTGGGAGTATCTGATTTAGAAGTTTGATGTGTTTGCAGATAAATTTCGACTTATTTCGGTGAAATGATGAATTGTACATATACAATACCACTTATTCGTTTTCCGTCCCTATACAATCAAGATCACAAGTTATTATAAGCCACAAAAGTAGTACTGGGTGAAGTGATTTATGGGCTTATATATCAGCTTTTAAAACAGCTTATTAAATGTAAGAGCTTATCAACTGTTTAAAATAAGCTAAGTCAAATCTCATGGTGATGCTTTGGTAATATATATTGGTACTCATCAAATGCAACCACAAGGGGGAGAAAACTGTAATTTTCCCCTCTAGCTAAAAGCAAATCTTGGAACAACATATTGACTTACTTGAACAACATCATCTTCACCAACACAACCAAAAGGTACAATTTTGGCGCCAAATCTTGCCGCCATTCGCACAAACTCCGATTTAGCTGGCCAAAACAGTTTGTGTTCTTCACCCTGAATATATAGTTCAACGAGACGATCATTAACGTCTAGATTTAATTAATACAATAACTAAAAAAAATGTCTTGTAATATATATAGGGAAAATTACAGTTTTCATCCCTCAAGTTTGCATCGATTTCACATTTGGTCCCCATATTCACAAAAAACACACTTGGTCCCTCGTGTTCCAATAATTAAACAATTTTGGTCATTTCCGTCAATTTACCGTTAGTCCGTTAGTACACGCTTGATTCCGTTAGTTTTAACAGAAAATTGACGGAAATAACTAAAAGTGTTGAAATTTTGAAACATCAGGAACCAAATGTGTTTTTTGTGAACATAGAGGACCAAATGTGAAATAAGTGCAAACTTGTGGGACGAAAATTGTATTTTTCCCAATATACATATATATACCTTCTGATGAAATAGCTCCCGGAAACCCCCTGGATACAGCAAAACATGAGAATTTATGGAGAGAGCTTTGTATAAGTTAGTAGCAGATACCGGAGCCCCACCAAGAACCCTAATCACATCGAGCATGGACAAATCGGGTAATTTCCCACCCTTCTTCAATCTCTCGAAGAATAACGGATGTGCCATTCCCCGGACCATAATATTCTCGTCGGTCCAAAAACTCGAGACGAGCAATACAGCGTCCACCGACATCATCATGTGGTTACCTACTAATATCACCGGTCCTTGAGAAGGAATTCCTCCAAGCCCTCGGACGAGTTCTCCACTAACCCTAGTCGATATCATTACAGGATCGAGGGCCGTGTTCATCCATCTGGACAAATATCAAACGAACTATATTAGATGGAAGTAAATTGAAAATTCGGACATAAATGTTTTTTTTTTTTGGTACCTGAATGGTTGGAGAATCATCTTAAGTTCAGAAGGGGTTGGTGGAAAGTAATCCGAGATATAATCAACGGATGCTCCTCGACGATAATAGCTGACGCGCTTTATTGTTGCGACGAGATCGAAAGTTTCATCTTGTAAGAAAATTGAAAAAACACCAATTTGATAATAACAACATTCTACATGCCAAGCAACCATAATGTAATAATTTAATTTGTTCTTACCAAGAATAGAGGGTCCCGGTGGTCGACAAACGAACGAACCTCACAACGTGTCAGCATACTAGAAAGTCTATCGCTTTCGGTTTTGTTTGACATCAGCAAATCATTTCCACTGCATGCGTGGATGATGTAAAAGTTTAAAAATCCAAAGGTTTATATTAATTATTCTAAATGATCTGTGTCTGAAAATTGATAAACCTGGTTAGAATGAGTGTTTGAGCTTCGACAGCATGAAGATGTGAATCCAAATAGCTTTGCATCTCATATATCATCCTCAACTTCCACAAAACTGTTTCTACTGTTGAAATTGAACACAAAAATTTATAAGAAAAATATTGCCACTCGGGTGTAATTTTGAATTGCTGAAAAAGTACTCATGTTCAAAAAAATCTAGCAAGAAACCCCCTATCTTATGTTTTACGCAGCACACTGCTCCTTATTTTGTTTTTTTGCAGTTCGCTTAGATGAAATGACAAAATTACCCTTACTTGAAAATAAAGCAAAATACTTAACAAAAAAAAGAAAAAACTGAAAACAAAATCCTAAAAAAGAAAAAAAAATATAGAAGAAAAGGAGAGAAAGTACTGAATTTTTTTGGTGCTGAATGTTTTTGGTGTGAATCTGTAATTTCTGAAATTTATAATTTAATGGTATTTTGGTCTTTCCAGGGTCAAAAATACACCCCCAGACGCAATCCGCGCATGTAGCACACGATAAGCTGTCAAATAATGTCTTTATTGCCTTTGACTAATTTTCATAGAGTTTTTTTTGCTAAGTGTTTTAACTCGAGAGTTTTTTCAGCCATTTGAGATTACACAATGGTGGCAGAAGTGAAAACCTGGTGGGGGAATCAGATGCTTATGAATCATCTCAGAGAAAGGCGCAACACTTTGGAGTAAAGATTTGCTCAAACTTGTAGCTGCAAAATAATAATTAAAAAAAATATAAAAATAAAAAGGTTTCATACAAATGCAATTTGTCTTAGAAAATCCATGGACCTGGATAACTTATAACTAAAAGAAGGTATAATTATCTGGAAAAATGAGTTTTTTAGTCCTGTAAGTTTGCTAGTTGAGAGTTTTAGTCCACTATGTTTTAGATTCAGAAGTTTAGTCCTGTAAGTTACAAAAGTTGAGAATTTTGGTCCTATGACCTGCTATAACAGGTAATGTGATGGTTGGTTGAATGAGTTGGCATTTAAAATATAAAAATAAATAGATTAAAAATAAATTAGGTGATGTGGCTAATGAGTTGGATGTTTTTTGAGAAAAAAATGATCCCCAATATCAAATTCACCCAAATAATGACGAAATTTTAACATATTAATTATTAATTTATATATTTAATTTTTTTTGTTATATAAGCAATAAAGAACCACAATAAACCCATTAAATAAAATCTACAACTATATTTTTATAAAGAAAATAAGACTAACTAATGTTTAATTAATTTTTTTAATTTTTATTTGATAAAAATAGTAATTAAATTTATATTTATCTAAATATTTCATTTTCTTACAAATCTATACTTAGTTATTACAATGAAATTGAACCAACAATCAAATTCAACATATAATCGAAAAAAAACATCTTTTATTAAACCTTGTTGTAAAGTTAAATAACATGCACAATCATAATTAGTATAAGAAATCAAATACACATTTACGAATTAACCAAAAAATAATAAAGTATATTCAAAACTCTATTAAATTAAATGTACCCAAAAAGTAATCTAGAGCTTCCAAACATAAAATACATTATCAAACCAAGAGTAACAAATATCCATAACAAGTAATAAAATATAGTTAATTACTATTTTTATCAATTGAAAACTATGAAATATTAATTAAAAATTAGTTATTACGAAAATGCTTATTTCATTCATCAAAAAAAAAATTGATGGTATATTTTATTTCCCTCCAAAATTGTCCAACTCATTAGCCACATCATCTAATTTATTTTTAATCTATTTACTTTTATATTTTAAATGCCAACTCATTCAACCAACCATCACATTACCTTTTATAGCAGGTCATAGGACCAAAATTCTCAACTTTTATAACTTACAGGACTAAAATTCTGATTTTGAAACATGGTGGACTAAAACTCTCAACTAGCAAACTTACAGGACTAAAAAACTCATTTTGCCTAATTATCCCGCTCACCAGGATTAGCGAGGATTAGGACAAGATCGATATCAGGGTTTTGAGCAGCAACAACTAGTGCAAGTGATGCTCCGAAAGACTCTCCGACAATATATATTGGTCTCTTTGTTGATCGATCGTGCTCTCTTCTAACGGTACTCTGAACTAACTTCACTAGTTCTACACGGTATAAAACAATTTTTTAAAATGGAATCATGCGAAGGGAACCAATAACTATCATCCGAAACGTTAAATGAGAGAGAGAGAGAGAGAGAGAGAGAGAGAGAGAGAGACCTAGGAACGGTGTTCGATCCGTGATAGGGATGTGGAAGCATCGGATATCGAAAATCCTTCATACATGGAAAAGTAAGAAGGATAATTAATTTGACTTGAAGTGGGAAAGATAATAAAGTAAATATAGAAAGTATACTCGAAAAAATGTTTTTATACACATGAAGCTAAGGGGAATATCGAAATTCGACGAGAGCTTACTCTCCGAGCCTTTCATGCTGCAACTTGAGACCATGTCCAACACCATCAATCCCTGTAATTATCGTCTCGTTGAAAGTTAGACATTTATAAAGAAGTAATATTGAGTGACAACACCATATTTCGCATGATTAAGCAAAATATGGTTAGAAATTTTATTCATGTGTTTTTATTTACACCATATTTGCGAATATGGTTAGCAAATATAATTTAAGTATGTTATAATCATATTTTGCTTAATCATGCGAAATATGATTATAATACCACAATTTGAGTATGTTATAATACCACAATTTTTCATTTATTAAAGTATGTTATAACATACTTAAATTTCGCATCAAATTTTAATTTCAAAAATTATAACATACTTTAAGTATGTTATAATACCACAATTTTTCACTTATTAAAGTATGTTATAATTTTTGAAATTAAAATCGGATTAAAAGTTAGAAATTCCAAAAATTCTACATATATTTTTAATTCCAATCCAAAAAAAATCGGATTTGGAAATTATAATTTTGGAAATCGTAATTAAAAGGAAAAAAAAAGTGTTAAAAATTGAAAAGTTTCGAATTTAAATAGAGTACGGGGAAATTCTATTACCCTCAAGAAAAAATTAGATGCATTGTTCTTATATTAATTAGGGCAAATTACGGTCACCCCTGAGGTATGGCCAAATTAAGAATAAAAAAACCCCTCTTGTTTGGGTAATTACAACCACTCCCTCCTTTTAAATTTTTTTACATAAAATGTATGTAATTTGGTTATTTACCAAACCAAATCGTATATTCAATTCGGTGCACGGTATGAAATGTTGGCGTACCGAAATTTCGGTTCGATTTTACCGATTTAACATCCCTAAATACTTACCTCTGAAGGGGTTTTTTCGTAAGATAATACATATATATATAGCTAAGAGGGAGGCCGTAATTACCCAAATAGGAGAAAGTTTTTCATATTTTGATCATAAATCAGGGTTGGCCGCAATTAATTATTACATATTTTGAGAGAGAGAGACCTGGCAAGAAAAGCAAGAGGGGACCTTTTGACCTACACCCAGACTCCACCGGCGAAAACCACCGCGGTGGTCCCCCGTCATCACCGATTTCCTTCAGCTGGTCGGAGTAATTTTTTGAACTCCGATCACTACTTTTAGTACTCTTGAAACTGCTCCCTTTCACATGCAGAGAACTTAGTTTCCGGCAACCGGTTGCTTCGCGTCGGAGAACTCGCCGGAAACAGTTCCCCGGAAAACCATTTACAACCGCCGACACCATGGATGGAACTAATGGCCTGCTAACAAACTCCAGTCCATAAAAATCGAACATTTTCGTAGTGATCATCTTCGATCTCTAGCTTCTTCGATCCCCCACGCCCATATTTCTTTTTATATCATTAATTGGTACACATGCATGGTTATAGACCTAATTCTAGCGCTTTATCTGACAACGATATTATTAATTAATAGGGTAAATTACAAGTAACCAGTGAACGAACTAGGGTTAAATTATTACCAAACAAAAAAAACAAATCCTCACATATTCATGATTACACAAAACCTCTGATGTTTGTTGTCGTCTTACATTCTCGATCCCCTTATCGTGTACAATGGAAATTTTTTACTCCATGGAAAATTCTTCATAAAATACCGATTTTACCCTCGGTGGTAATTGTGAATATTAATATTATTTCATAAGGGGGTAAATTGTAATATTTTTTTGGAATAAAATATAACCGTTTTGCACTAACCATAGGTTTGGGGTTTATTTTTTTAGCAAGTCCAAAAAATCTTATAATCTCTTTTTAAAAGTTTTTTTTTCCAAACACCACCTGACTTAAAGCATAAACTTAAAGACGAGTAATGAAGTTTTGGAAGTTTCATTGTCTCATTAAATAAATAATTACTTATATATGAATTTTCAAACATTTATGTGTGACCAAAAGCCCCAATAAATTATCTCCACAGATAGTCATATGTTAGATACATTACATAAATATAATAAATCAGGCTCTGATTATAACCCATCTTTAATTTTTCTTTTAAACAAGGGAGCTATATTTAAATAAGAAAAACGGATTTCATTCATTGAGTGGCACATGGACATTTTAATTAAAAAAAAAAAAAAAAAGTGGGTGATTACGTTTCCATAATTTGTCGGTATTTTAAATTTAAAACTCCTTACCTGCTCTAGTTAAGAATTTTAAGGGTTCTGTAGATGCTACATCTGATGAAATACGTTGTGTAACAATATTGTGTAATTTGAAGGTTAGGATCGAGGGCTTGGTTGATTGCTAGTTTGAAATACTAGCATATCGTTTATTATAAAAATATTTTCGATATTCAAAATCATGAATATCGAAATCATTTATAAATGAAACCTTACTCTGTATTAAGAACATAGGGAAAATTACAGTTTTCATCCCTCAAATTTGCACTGATTTCACATTTGGTCCCTCAGGTTTTAAAATTTCAACAATTTCAGTCATTTCCATTACTTTTTCGTTAGTAGTAACAATATCCAGTGTGTGTCCATCACTATCTTAACTATAACTCGGACTAATGGTAAAATATTAACAAAAATGACCAAAAGTGTTAAGTTATGCATGAGGGACCAAATGTGAAATCGGTACAACTTTGAGGGATGAAAACTGTAATTTTCCCTAAAAACAAATGATAAGAAATACAAGAATTGCACAACGTGAGGTATATAATTGGAGCGTTTACAATAGAGCACGCATTTTGTTAAGACTTAAGAGAATCATGAGACTATAGAAGATGACATTGCTCATCGAAACACAAAAAATGCAGATACAAATAAAAAATCAAATGTCGAAAGTTGGGACTTGAGAATCGAAGCCGTTGAAGCCCTGATAAGCTAATCGAGCTAAAAGATTCCTATACGGATCCTTTTCTCCTTTCTCCTTCAAATAATCGATACATTTTTGTACCTCATTTTGTATCTCTAAATACATTTCATTAGCTTTCTCTTTGTTTCTCAATACATCCTCCCTTCCTGCACCATAACACATGCACGTAAACCAAATCAGTCTCGTGTGAAATTGAAAATCGGGTAATATAATATAAAATACTTCTCTCCGTATTTAGGATATTTTTTTGTCTAGCAAATATAAATACCTTCTACTGAAATTGGTTTTCCGAATCGGAAATAAAATCGACCAGGTAACTTGGGTAGTACTACGGGGAAGTATAGAAGTTGCTTCCCTATTTCGCCTCCAGCATCACTCATGTATATATATGCCATTACAACCAAATGAAACATGTGTGTGTGTGTGTGTGTGTGTGTGTGTGCAGTGGCGTATCCAGTGTAGTCCTAGGGTGTGCAACTGTACACCCTTGATTTTGAAATGAATAATTTGCTAATGAGATGCTGTAGCTGAAATCGCAGAGTTCTCCCTACAAATTCAAAGAGGTGCAGAGTTCGAGACTTTGATGAGACCCTTCCCTTCTATTTTGTTAAATTATTCATATTCTTGTTTTTATTTATTTCTAATACATATAATATTTCAATTGTTTTCAACATTTTTGAATATGTCGGTATTTTTGAATATTTCAAAAAATCATAATCTCCTAATAAAACATATATTTTGCTATTTGCAACTTTAGTTTATTTACCATTCCTTTAATATTTTATATAATCTAAATTATTCCAAAATTCTTAATTTTATATATATATATATATATATATATATATATATATATATATATATGCATTATTACAATTATTTTCTAAATTTACAACTATGTGGGTATTTTTTTTTTTTTTAAATCAAAATCTGCTAATGAAATTCACATTTTATCACTTGCAACTTTAATATGCTTACCACTCCTTAAATATTTTCACCAATTTTATGTCTAAATATTTCCTAAATTAGCCCAAAATTTGTAAAATAATCCCTTCAAATTTGAAAATATTACATATTTTTATTATTTAATATGTATAGTATTAAAAAAAAATATTCGGGGGCGCTGCCCCCGAACCCCCGTAAACTTTTACCTTTATTACTATATTTAATTCCGAACACCCTTGACAAAAATCCTGGATTCGCCACTGTGTGTGTGTGTATGTATGTATGTGTGTAAGTAATTACTTACCTCAACCTAACGGCTTCGCCGGTTAGTTCTTCTATTAAGGCCTTGAGGTGGGGAATCTTCATTTGATCATTGGAGTCTAATAACAACTAATTCGAGAAAAATTAACTTCCGATCGTACATTAGATAAACTATGATTCAAGAAAGGTCGATGATTGTAAAAACCAAGTTTTAATTTCCCTTTTATGTCATAAAATTTAAATTTCTTAGCATTGGACAATATTAATTTTTATTCAGAAATAATATGGTTCGTATATTTTTGGTGACATTGTCAAATTCCAATGTGTCACCAGCCAGACTAGATTAAGGTGGTGTCTGCAAACGCTTTTACATAAACATAAGCTAGTAATTCAGATAAGATTTTTCTTAAAAAAGTTTTAAGCAACCAATAAAGAAGTTACAATATTGTTTGCAAATAAACTTTAATTTTTAATTTATTGGTGTTATCTAGTGTCCGAGAGGACTGTACTTTTAGGACTGTATCTAAATTGTCTGAGTAATGGAATTTGGATAAGTAAAACAAGGGTGAAAAAAGTCAAATATATTTTTTACTTGGTTGAAAAAATTCGTTTAAATTGAAGAAGCAGCTCTAATTAGTGGTACTTCTCAAATTATAGCTTAACACTACTTATTTTTAGAGAAGCGGAGCAAAAGCTGTTGTTTTAAACATAAACACACTAATATGAGCAAAAAAGAAAAGGTCATAGTTTCGAAAAGTTTTTGCAAGCACGACCTAAGTGTTGGCCGGAAGTGGAGAGGTTTTGGTAGTTCCAGGAATACAAGGGGACCTAAGTACTAATGAAATCCAACCACGAAGGGACAAAACCGTAATTTACCCTCGAGGTAAAAAGAAAATCTTGAACTACAGATACACTTACTTGAACAACATCATCTTCACCAACACTACCAAAAGGTATAATTTTGGCCCCAAATTTTGCAGCCATTCGAACAAACTCCGGTTCGGCCGGCCAAAACATTTTGTGCTCTTCACCCTAAAATTAGTACGACAACAAGATTAATGTCCGTTGCAAGAGTTAACTAATACATAATCAAAAAATCTTGTAATAATATATATTTTTGCCCCAAATCTTTACCTCAATTTCACATTTGATCCCCTTGTTCACAAAAAATAGATTTAGTCCCTCATGTTTCAACAACTTAACAATTTCGGTCATTTTCGTTAATTTTCAATTAGTACTAGCATAAAGAATGTGCCCATCACTGTCTTAACAAACGGACTAACACTAAATTGATGGAATCACCAAAAGTGTTAAATTGTTAAAACATGAGGGAATAAATGTGATTTTTGTGAACCATGGGGATTAAATGTGAAACATGTGCAAACTTGAGGGACGAAAACTGTACATTTCCATATATATATATATATATTATTTATACCTTATGATGAAATACCTCCCTTGCACCCCCCGGAAACAACAAAACGTGAGACTTCGTCGAGAGGCCTTTGTATAAGTTAGTAGCCGATACTGAAACCCCACCAAGAACCCTAATAAAATCGAATACGGACAATTCCGGTAATTTTCCTCCTTTCTTCAATCTTTCGAAGAATAACGGATGTGCCATTCCTCGGACCATAATATTCTCGTTGGTCCAAAAATTCGAGACGAGCAATACAGCATCCATCCCCATCATCATGTGGTTTCCGACAAGTAGCACCGGTCCTTTAGAAGGAATTCCTCCAAGCCCTCGGACAAGTTCTCCGCTAACCCTAGTCGAGATCATTACAGGATCGACGGCCGTAGCCATCCATCTGAAGTTGAATTTAATAATATGTCAAGATAAATAAAGATTTGTCGGAAATCAAATTTATAGAACGAAATAAACTAAAAATTCTGTTTGCTGATTGCAATGTGCTTTCGTAAAATACAAACATTCTTAATCCAAATAAACGAAATAAGTGTTTTTCTCTACACATTTGGGAATCCATCCGTCCCAAATTATTTGTCGATTTGAGCTAATGCAAATGTATTATGAAAACTAATAAATATTGATGGATTCTAGGGAAAAAATCATAAAATAACGAAAATATCCCTTTCATTAATTGTTTCACCGTACCATTAATTATATATCTCAACTAATTAAGAGTAGTGAAATTAAAGAGCGGTGAGAGCAAAATTGAGAAAAGTTCAATAAATGCATTATTGGAGTGTGTGTATAAATGCTCAATACCTGAATGGTTCAAGAATCATGTTAAGCTCAGAAGGGGTTGGTGGAAAGAAGTCCGACATGTAATCAACGGACGCTCCTCGACGATAATAACTGACGCGCTTTATTGTTGCGACGAGATCAAAAGTTTCATCCTGTAAGAAAATTGATAAAACACCAACCGTAATAACAATATTCTAGAGCCAAGCAACTATATACTATGTAATAAACTTTATAATTATTAACTCATCTCTTGTACTATTAGCGTTTAATTTGTTCTTACGTACCAGAAATAGAGGATTTCCGTTGCCACTACACGAACGAACCTCACAACGTTTCAGCACACCAGAAAGTCTTTCGCTTTCCGTATTGTTTGGCAGCAGCATATCATTTCCACTGCATGCATGGATAATATATATAATAATTCAAAATCAAAGGCTTTTATTAATTACTCTATATTTATCATCAAGCTCTGATTAATTAATAATCCATGTCTGAAATTTGATAAACCTGTTAAGTATAAGTGTCTGAGCTTCGACAGCATGAAGATGTGAATCCAAATAGCTTTGCATCTCATAAATCATGCCCAACTTCCACAAAACTGTTTCTACTGTTGAAATCGAACACGAAAATTGACAGCACATTATTTAGTATAGAGAAATAACAGTAGATGGCAACATATATAATAAAGTGTTTGCAAAAGCTTTTAAAAGAGTAGAAGTTGGTGATTATATATGAGTTACGTTAATGACATAAGTGCTTATTTTTAAAAGTAGGTGGTGAAAATTTCACGAAAAATCAATTTCCGGCAACTTATTTTAAGAGAAGTTGGTCCAGGGTACTTTTTATATTTTAACTTAAAGCAGTTTATTTTAAGGTCAGAGATTAGAATTACTTTTCAAAAGCTTTTGTATTGTAAGAACCACCTAATTGGATCGGATTAAATTAAATATCGCTTATCGCTCGTAGATTTGATTAGTTTGACCCTTTTTTTTCTCTTTTTTATTTTTTTATAATCACGAGCTTGAAACCCAAACCCCAAACATTTGACAAAGTTCGATTATATTGAGTATCAAGTGTAATTATATATAATTCCCAAACTTTAGCTAATTAGGTATGAAAAAGAATAATCAGTTGTGTAAAACCTGGTACTTGATCAAATTGTCCGGCCTTCAGATGTTTGTGAATCATGTCTGAGAAAGGCACAGCACTTTGGAGCAAGGATTTGCTCAAACTTGCAGCTGCCACATATTGTAAAAAAAAAACGAAAAAATCATGCTTATGCAATTTGTCTTAGTATTATAATCCATGGATTATCTGGATAACTTAAAATGCACAATAATAATCCACCTCACCTGGATTGGCGAGGATTAAGATAAGATCGATATGAGGGTTATGTGCAGCGACAACTAGTGCAAGTGATGCTCCAAAAGACTCTCCGACGAGATATATTGGTCTCTTATTTGCTTCTCGACCGTGCTCTGATCTAACCGTACGCTCAACAAGCTTCACTAGGTCTATACGATAAAACAGATTTTAAAAAAGGAAAGCATGATAGCTAGGGCAAACCAATAACTATATATCATCCTTTACATATGGAGATCTAGAGAGAGAGAGAGACCTGGCAACGATGTTCGATCGGTGACAGGGATGTGCAGGCACCAGATAACGAAAATCCTTCATGCATGTACGTAGGGAAAAGAGAGAGATTAAGGATATTCGAACAAATTAATAGTCTAAGTAATAAAAGGCATATATACTCACAACAAGTTTTCTCATATATATAAAATATGAAGGGGAATAAATTATATTGAGTGAGATGAAACTTACTCTACAAGTCTTTTATGTTGCAACATGAGACCATGTCCAACTCCATCAATCCCCTACATTGTTGATTAATCATCGCTTCAAATTAGACATTTTTCTTAAAATTATATACGTTTTTTAACGTATACAAATGATATAATACAGTAAAACCTCTATATATAAATGAATATTGTTGAACTAGGAAAATATATTAGTTTGTGTAAACATTAATCATTCAGACAGTTGGAAATAGGAAATTATGATGTGTTTGCACACATGCATAACTTCGCTAGCTACTGTGAGGATTGTTCGAAAATTGAGTTTTGACCTAGCATTGATCGGACTAGAAACGAAAGCAAAATTGTAAAATCTCGATCTAAATTGAAGGGTGTTAATTCAGTATGTTGAATGACCATCTCAATCAAAAGTTTAAATTATTCGTGGAATGTATCATTTAATATTAGTATTTTCAATAGTGACATCTCTAACGAAAAATAGTCCGTGTTTATAATATCTACGTGTGGACCACTTGTCACTTTTAAAAACTTTCATGCATGGCTCATGGTGAATTGAATATCATATTCATAAATTATTAATATACGAATTAAAAAGTAATATTATATAAAATCATTTAAGTAACATTATCTTATTTTTTATAAAATAATGTTATACTATTATGAACTTCACTAGTACTATACTCCCTTGATTCAAGATTAGATCTGTCATTATTATATTATATATTACTTTCTAGAGAGAGAAAGAAAGAGAGACAGAGATCACCTGGCAAGAAGAGCAAGAGAGGAGACCCCGTTGACCTACACCCACACTCCACCGGCGAAAACCACCGCGGCGGTTCGCCGTCGTCGTCGGCAAACTTCGGTTCGGAGTAGTAATCTTTTGATCTCAGACTACTTTTAATTTAGTCTTGAATCTGCTCCCTTTCACATGCAAACAAACTGACGCGCCGCCACTGCTGCTGCGAGTAGTTGTCCAGCAGGAGCTGAGTTTCCGATTTGTTCGCCGGAGAACTTGCCGGAAACCGGTGGCCGGAAGACCATTTACGACCCTCGCCGCCGTGGATTTGAGTGGCATGCTAATAGTAACAGATTTCATCCCATAGATATTATTATTGAACATTTTTTTGTTCCCTTCTTCCCACCATGCAAATGTATATATATTATATTAAACCTATTTCTTTTTCTCCGACAATAATATGATTATTGTATGGTATATACCAACTCTGCAAGTTCACGTGTATTATAATACAAATACACGTGTTTTTTTTTTATTCTTACGTGAAAAACAAATAAAAAAAACTCGATTAATTCGAGTGGGCAAAAAACTTATGATCTTCACTCTTAGGGCCCGTTTGGGTAAGCTTATTTTAAAGAGATCATAAGTTCTTACGTCTGATAAGATTCGTGTTTTTTTATTCTTACGTGAAAAAAAAAATTGATTAATTCGACTGGGCAAAAAACTTATGATCTTCACTCTTAGGACCCGTTTGGGTAAGCTTATTTTAAACAGATCGTAAGCTCTTACGTCTGATAAGATATTTTAGGAGTTGATAAGTTGTTACATCTTATTTTTAGAATTAATATGTTTAAAATGTTTGGATTATAAGCTATTTTTATTCATTATAAGATCTTAAAATAAAAATGTGAGCGGTAAAGGTACTAAAAAAAAGATCTTACTTGCTCTCCAACATTTTATTTTTTAAAAAATTAAGATATTTTCTTAAAAAGTTACCAAACACTTTGGAAAAGCTTATAAGCTCTTAAACATCTTATAAATTCATTTTACATCTTAAAAGCTTATCCCAACACCCTCTTAACAGCATTGATGATGCTAATTACTTTGACCACCTAGGGTATTGTAGAAAACGAGCTGGGAGAGCAAAGTTGATCAGTAGATTGACAACTTGATGATCCTGAGGTCCCTGCGAAATGAGCACACGTGAACTAAGCCGGGGGTTGATCCGGCGGAAACCCCTCCGACGCTCAAGTTAGATGTACGGATCGTAGAGATAGTAGAGAGAATAAAGCTCTAAATTGTTGGTGAATAATAAAACGTACCTTAACAAATGAGTAAAACATCTATTTATATGTCGTTGATTAGGTTGGACTTACTTTATTGGGCTCAAGCCTTATATTGAAGGTGTTTGGGCTTTCGTGAAGTGGGCCTAATTATTAGATAAATTGGGGGCCCATTGGGCCGGCCCAATTAAGTATATCAAGCATAGTTGGGTGTGTTAAAATTTATAAATTAATTAATATACTAAAATGACAAAAAAAAATGTTTTTTAAATAATATGTGGAATGAGGATTTCATCTGAAAGCAAAGTTTAAGTTGTTAATGAGATAATCGTTTGATATGTATATCTAATACATCCATCCTTCACATTGGGCGTGTTAGAACCCTAAAATTAATTTGTTGTAAGAAATGTGCATACCCACTAGGAATCGAACTCGCCAGCCGTGACTTTTGCACTATTTTGAGCGACAACATTAACTTTCACGTGATTAGACAAAAAAATTGATTAATGGGGTATCGCGGTATACAGTGACAATAAAAAAGAGATTATTAATTCAGTTAGTGACGAACTGACGATAGAGAAAAAAAAATTAGATTAAGTGACAACAAATGAATTATTAGTGACTCGACAATTGCGGGCTCGCAGGTTCATCGAAAATTGAAATTTATGCAGCTCAAATGCTACTTTTTAATTGAAAAAGTTTATTAATGAGTGAAATATGGACACCTAGCTGGCTTTCCATCAAAATTGAGTTGGCTAAATAAAACTCTAACCACCCGATATAAAATAAAAAAATAAAAAAAATAAAAAAAAAATTATATGATGGGACAACATTGTAAGAAATAGCTCATAATATGAATAGGGATTTGCTTTTTACCGTTTGAAAAAGGCTATTTACCGTTCAAAAAAACTCTCTCTCTCTCTCTCTAAAAAAAATTGCTCTCAATACAATTTCTTCACAAATCATTCTTATTGGTGTGATATACGAACATAAATGAATTTATCGAATGAAGATCGGGATAGCGAACACAGCGAGGTAAAAATTCCGTCTTTTCGATCGAAAAAACTGGGCTAAACATTCAAAAGCCCAACTTGGGCGCCCGACGGTGTGCCGGGCGCCCTACTTGGGCTTTTGAATTTTAAACCTTTTTTTTTTTTTTTTTTTTTTTAATTAATTTTTTTATGTTTTTTTCCGGAGGATACTTCTACATTTGAAGTTGATCATACCGATTATTTTACCACTACTCCTTTGTTTGACTCAAAGGATGAGGTAGTGGTTTGGGTGACGTTCTTTGAAATGGGTCTTTTTGTGAAAATATTAAAAAGAAGCAGTCCTAAAAAAAAGATTTTTTTGATTTGTGACCTATTCCGGAAAAAACAAAAAAGACCATCAACAAATCCAAAAGCACGCCCGATAAGGACCGGTAGCAAAAAGATCGGGTGTGGTTTTAATTTTGGGAAAAAACTACGACGGAATAATAAATGGCAGGTAATAATATTTCGGGAATCAGATCATGTTCCGATGACACATCCGACATGGGATCAATGCATTGTCTCAGGAGCAGGCGAATATCATTAATGATCTGTCTTAAAGCCGAGACACGCCTGAAAAATTTTGACTAAGCAGACACAAACATGGTGTTGGACCTCAATGG